TGATCAGAGAATAGCTTTGGGAAAGTAAGTGAAACGTCCTTTATCTTTCCCCAAGAATGAGCTACAGATGCTCTGCAAAAAAGAGAGGGGGAGAGGACGGCCAGCAGGGGAGGACGAAGCGGGGCAAACGGTTGCGTGTGAAGTCCGGCAGGTGAGGAAGCAACAGTACCCAGGTTTACATACTTTCAGTCTGCCTGTGCGGCTCCCACCTTTCAGAGGCAGTGTGCACAGTCACCCCGAGCATCTCAAGGGACAAGTGACCTCCAGAGACACTCTGGAAAAGGGGTTTAGCAGAAGCCATGTTGGGTAGAGCCTCCAGGCAAGCTCCTTGAACCCGTTTTTCTCTACACTGCTATGCAAAGGTGTCGGTAATTTTGAAGTTATGTAGGTGGAGCATAAATACTCTATGTTTTCAAACAGGGCGAATACAATCTATCGTGGTTTGCGGCCACCATGGACAGGAGTGACAACTTCCATTCATCGAGAGAGGGCCGACAGATGAACGGACGAGGTGGGCCGCCCATGAGCAGCGCTGACCTGCCATGTCGCCACCTCTGTGCCACCGGCCAGGCTCCCCGGGCGTCAGACAGACACACCAGACCACCCGGTGCAGCCTGCTCTTACTTCGTGAGGGGTGACAGCAGCTGTCACTGTCACTTTCCCCAGCTAGAACCTACGCTAGGAACTCTGCGTCTGCTACTGCAAATCCTTTAATCCTTTAGCCTTCTGGGTTAAGAAGTATCCTCACTTCACAGTGAGAAAACTGAGGACAGGAAAGGTTGTTTATTATGAAGTGACGCAGTTAATACCGTAACAGGTGGCGACATAATTTAAAGATGTCTACTGCCTACGAAGCCTAGGCTTCTTTGAACTAAAACATACTCTCTTACATTTTTTAACTTAACTTCCCTTACATGAAGAACCTGTTTCTCACCAATAATTAAATCCCACAAACATGTCATTCCCACCTACCTTGATTAATATGATTACAAAGTATGTCAATCTCAGGCTACAGATAAAATGCCAAAAGAAATCTAACTGGCCAATTATAGATGCATCACAAAAATGTATTTGGGTATTTCTTACCTTTATATATATTTTTTCAATACCGAATGGTAAGCAAGAAGTATGAGCATTTACTTGTCATGTACAGTATTTTACAAACTGATTGTCAGGGGTCAGCAGCAGCACAGTCTGTGCAGAAATGCTGTGTGTGGGAAACGCACGGCCAGCGGTCCAGCCTCCAACCCTCTCCTTCAAAGGGCAGCACCGGTGAGGCCGGGCCGCTGTCTCCGCCAGGGCAAGGAGCACGCACAGAAGCAGCCCGTCAGCCATGGCTAGATTTGAGAGTGTGGTCTCCCTGAAGCTCATTTCTGTGAACAGCCACGCGCAACAGACAATAGTATTTTCAGAATTAAATGTAGCCTTCTAGGCATCTCCCCACTACTTTTTTCTATGGGCAAATTAGAAATATCTACTTACCCAGAAAGGTTTTGGTGAAAAAAACTAAAGTAAAATATTAATTTGATTTCATCCTATTGCCATTTCTTCTTCAGGAAAACAATGCAGTTAATTCTTCCCATTAAATGAGACAAAATAAAAAGAACCAACCAACAAAAGCACACAGAAGTGGGGCTCTCCAGAACCGACCACGCTGCAGCTCAGAGCCCCAGGATGGCGAGGGCAGCAGGAGCTCACAGCGGAGTCAGGCCCGTGGCAGCTGTATCACACACCATCTCCACAATCCTTGCGAGGACCCCAGGCGTGAACACCACCATTTCTCCGTATTCTCCACCTGGAGAAGTTAACTTTCAAGCCTTGCCCTTTAACAGGTAAGACAATGCAACAAGAAGGGGCGGGGGCGGCAGGAGCTTGC